CATTGTGCAAAGAACAGAAACAACAGCCATACAGCATTTCTAGCCTCCTTAAGAAATTAAAAGCTAACGAGGATTTATGTCCACAAAAGTGTCCTCTTTTTTTTCGTTAAGCAAAACATTCCGGTATTTCCTAAAAAATTACACGATATGCAAAAGAGGTCCTCAAGCATGCAACGATAAAGAAAGTGATAGAGATGTGGCTGAGGTACTTCACAAGGTGATATTTGAGCAGAGACAAAGTTGGGTCTCAAACCAGACTGTTGGAAACTGAGATCCAAGGGGAAGACAATCAGCTGAGTCATTGAAAATAAAAGTGCTGGAATCCTGGATCATGGCCAATCTTTTCCATGCGGGAACCGCGAAGGGAATGGCTCGTGCTGCGACGCGTTCGCGAAGCGCCAGCGTTTGCTTTCGAACCCGTTCCGACAATATTGATGACGTAGACATTTGGTAGGTTGCCAAGACGTGAAAAGGCTGTTCAGCCATTGTAAAAGTAGATCCAAATACGGTGTTTTTTCATAGAACTTTCTGGGATGGTCATATAGTTTGAATAAAAGCCAGTTCTACGTAGAAGTCTATGTTCCTCTTGTTTTTACTTGCCATTGCTCGCATTCTAGTTGCTACGCTTTTGTTCCATTTTCTCTCTAATTTCTCTTGTTTAGGCCTCTCATTCTTAATACCTGGAGCTTGTACCTATTCCTAGATGAGATCATAGAGTTTGTTCTAAACTTTCGACTCAAGACTACTCAACATTATGCCAGATACAGAGATTTCCCCGTCTGCTACCACTCCCTGTACGGATTCAAAAGAATCCGATGTTTCAAAGGTGAGAAATGTTTGAATAGTTTGCTCTAGCGTGATCGTATCAAACATTGTGTGGGCGTTCGTTTCTATTGACGTATCACGTCTATTTCGAAATAATGCACACTGCTTTGCAGCCGCTTTTCGCTCGTTCGTTTCTTCACTCAGTTTTCCGTCTTTTCTCAGCTTATGCAGATTCGCCAATATAAAGTTCTGCAGTGGTTTTTAACTTCGTAACGTTTACACTGATTCTAATTTTGTAAAAACCAACATTTAACGTTAAAAAAAGGCTGGAAGAGGTTGGTGGTGACGGTTTTGATCGTCCCTAATTTCCCTGTACTTCCACTCAAAAGTTCAAAGGATAGTTTCCGTAGATCGATTTCTGTCGGTATTTTCTTGATAATGCAGCTTTATGATCTCACGCCTGAATTTCAATTTAGGGGGAACACTTGTGAGCTTTAAAATCGTTTTGGTATACCTGCTATCCAGGTTTTCTTTGTATCCATAAACGCTGCATAATCGAGTAGGAATAGAAGTCCACACATTACTGAGGGTTGATAGTGTTGCTTGGCTCACTACACAGTCAACTAATAAAATGCATACACTTTTAAGCCAAATATGCGCACCTAAATATTACTAGAGCATTTTAAATGGATTTCACTTGATATGTAGGTTTTCTCAATGCCATAATTTCAGGTGCATATCTTTAATTTTTTGATTTTTCCAATTTATCAAGCCTTAATCACAATGATTTGATCGTTTTTGTGATATACAGATAATCAGAAATCATAGGTGCGCTCAAATCATGAAGATTAAGAAGTTAGCCGGATATGTTGATCTCCGTCTATCATGGAGGCTTCATTCCTCGCGACTATAAACAACTTTTGTTTACCGTCGATATTGTTTTCCATATCCACTCTATTATTTATTTAGGACAACGAAGCAGTTGATGCTGGAACCAAAGAAGGTGACACCGGTGAAGCTGGAATGAAGGAGAAAAAAGAAGAAAAGAAAGGAAATGGATTGGTAGACAACATTGACATAAGCAGGGTAAGCATTAACAGGTTTCAGTTGTTTTGGTGTGAGTCTGTAAATTTGTTGAGTTCAGTTCATTCTTTCAAAATAATATCAAAATTAGTCTCATGTGTCTCTGCTGTGTTATCTGTATTCGCTGCAAATACTTCTTTTCTCCTTAACCGCAAAACTATTTAGGAAGCGCGAAATCGCGTTAAATTGTATGTGCTATGCGATCAACGGGTTTGGGATGACCGTGGAACGGGTCATGTAGCTTGCGTACAAATACCTAATCAGCAAGGATTTGTCATAATTGTTAGGTTGGAATCGGCTACAAGTGGTCAGGGTAAGTTTGTGTTTGCATAGTTTCACCACAAGTTTATCTCTTTTTTATTTTAGATAAAAATGTGCTGGAGTCCAAAATTCTTATGGACACTGTTTACCAAAAGCAACAAGTTGGTAACTTTTTCATCTACACATCTCATTTTCTTGATTTTCAACACTTTTTGTATTTATGTAATCGATACTTTCTTCTCGCCGATCCTACATTTTCTTAAAATATTTCAGCAGCCATTCTTTCCCATTTCTCGTTACTTCAAAATTGTTGTTTTTGTTTGGGGCAAGCCTTTATTTCTCCTGATCAGGTGTTTCTACTAATGTGTTAACCAAAAATTTCGGCTACAACGTTTTTTCTCAGCTTGAGTTTGATCTTGTAAATCTGGTGTATATCTCTTAATCGTGATGGTCACATGGACTAGTATTTATTTAGGGGTTTGTTCACAGAAATAATGCTTTGGCTTCTAATAGTTATGCATACTTGCATGAGAAGTCAAACTTTATGGAAATTTGCTCAGGGCGAACTGGTGCCTAGTCACTCAAAGTTTTTTTTTCAAGTTTGGCAGTATTATCGCAAATAAGTCGAAGCTTATTGAGTGATTGGACATGGTTAGATCATTGTTGGAAGATTAAATTACTTAATTCTCTCCTTCTTCAAGCGTTCAATTTATGTAAGGTCTAGAATTCGTTCCCATCAACTACTTCTTAGAGGACGGAAAATTTACGAGAACAGCTTTTTTTTAACTTTACAATGTGATCACCTATCGCTTCGTTAATTCTTTTCAATATTATTACTAATTTCTACGTTTCTTCCCCTAACTGTCTGCTCCTTCAAAAGAATCTTTACATTTTTCTTGAGTTGAATAGCCTGTGAATATCTGCGCAGCTGTTTACGCTGTTTCCATAACCCCTTTTGTTGCAAATTAAAGCCTTTCCTTCTTGTCTAGACGTCATTTATTTGGATTTCTTTTTGCTCACGGCTATCAGCTGTGTGAAAGTCTGTGTCATGCACTTTATCAAAAGTATCTGACGTAGTGCCTTTAAGCGCGCTGCTTTACAGTAGTGTGAGTAGCTGCTTAAAACATCGCATTGCACGTATTGATTTGCACTCTTGCAGATGATTCTTACAGTTTACTATTATAGCTGATTAACAGCGCCACAACATATCAACATCTCTGTTTTTGCGTAAAATATCCATTTAGTCTAGTTTTCTAATCCTCTCTTATCGTGTTTCTCTCTCCAGTCTAGTTTCTCTTCTTTTCCATGAGCTCGTTTTTGATGTCTATTTTCTGAAGGTCTCTGTTTCTTGTATATATCAGGAGAAGGGCATGCAACTTTTTTTTTGCTCTCAATTCCTTCGATTATAGTGATTACACTCAAGAAGGAAAAAATTTTTCCAGACTGATGGACGAAATAAGTTTTTTTTGGGTAGATATCAGTCAGTCAGTTTAGGGT